CTAAGATAAATAAAGAATAAAAACGAAAAACAAATTAAATTCTGAAATGTGCAAATTAACTGCCAATTGCTTAAAACAAAAAAGAACAACTAATCAAGTCTAGAAAAAGAAAGAAAAAAAATTCAATCTAAGGCCAAATTATTAATCTTAATATGTAGATGACTAGTCCTTGCAACGGCACCAAAAACTTGATACACCAAATATACATTACTTTTAGGCAAGTGAACCTAATCGATTATACAGTATAAGATGAGTAAGATATCATTCCCTAAAGGACTATTCTAAACTACCAAAACGATATTAATCTAACCTAAGTTGAATTAACCAATTAATGGAGTAAAGCTAAGCTATTTAAAAGAAAACTACTTAGACTAAATAAATTAAACTAAAGGAATCTTCTAAGTTAAGGAAACTATGAATGGGAAGAAACTAGAGCTTAGATTTTATTTAATTCTGAATTATACAACTGTTTAATTAATTTAATTCAAGTTCAAATAATAGTGGTATCGCATGAGATAACGGATTTTCTTGAATTAATTAACTAGCTTTCTCAAATCAAGCTAATCCTTCATTTGTTTGCTAAATTAATCATATCTCTATGTAATTGTCACGCCCCAAAACCCAAGTTCGAGGCGCAACAGACGCCGTGCACTCATGAGAGGGTCCCACAAATGCACAAGGCTCGGAACTTATCAAATTCACATCTGACAATCCACAAAATCTGATGATCATATTTTTATAATTTGCTGTAATATCATAAGTCTCCAATAAAATCTCCACATACAAGATCATGATTTATTTCTAAAATCTATATCCAATCACAATATGGCTAGCCTTCTAACTCGTCACTTCCCGTGATTTCCCCATTCGCGGTTTCACTTCCTGAAATGGTGGACAAGGAAAAACTATGAGATAAACTTAGTAAGTAAAATATGGAGTGTCCTTAATTAAACGTATAGCATGCCAACAAGTGCAATCACGAAAACGGATACAGTACGGGAACGAAATAGACGTCTCCTCTATAGGTCACGGCTAGTGTTATAAACCTCCCACTGGCAGGCACACGATTTACTAGTGTACAATCCCCACTAGCAGGGTCACTATTTGCTGGTGTATAACCCCCACTAATAGGGTCACTCAAACGAACCGGTTCTATCAATAACATGTCGACATGTGCTAACGTTTATAACCTCCCCCACTAGCAGGGTCACTAATAACATGACCACATCGGAGACAAAACAGGCTGAAGTTAACAGAACAATCATAATTCACCAATCACTTTCAAATCATCAGGACAATCACTTAAATTTCAAGTAGGCATGCTCAATTTAATGAAAAGCATAAAACATTTCACTTCAAATCAGTCATGCTCGTGTAAAACGGGTTTAGTCCCGCCACCACTTCAAAAACAAATCAAAACATGCTTTTAAAAACAGTACGGGCATTACCGTAAATTTACTTACCTCACTCGCATAAAACCGAGCACTCAATTCACGTACTAATTGACAGAACGATCGGGAACTTAATCAAAACATTCCAGAATCAATATCGCACTATCACAATTCAAGTGAAATCATCACTATTAATCCCTAATCACGATATTATTCCTATCAAACTCCACATGATCAAATATCTCCAAATTCATTCTTATATCACAAACTAATCATTTAAATCCCCGTTAATTGTAAGCCCTCAGGGTGTGAACAGTAACTTGTGAACAGTACCGCGTGAACAGTGCCCGACGTGAACAGTAACTGCACTCCCAAAAATTGGCCAAAACACTAGCTAATTCACGGGATTTTCTCCAAAAATATCACAGCAATCAATTAACACTCAATCACATAAATCTCACTTGAATTAAGCTAAATCATGGTCTAATTACAATCAAATTTCTCCCCTAATTAATCCAGAATTTCGGACACCCAGGGCAACAATTAAATGGCTAAAATTTGCACTTAAAGAAGCTGCCACATACCAGAATTTGCAGCTAGCAGAACCGGGCCTAGCAGGGGGGGAAGCCGGCGGCAGTGCAGGGGAAATTCTGGGGAAATTACCGAAAATTCAAGAACCAAAAGGGAATTAAGGTAAACCCAAGCCCAAATCAAAGCTAAAGAGATAAATTCACGGCTGCTTCTTACCAAGAAAGACCGAAAATCACACCCACAAGCAAGAGCAGCCGGCGGACAAGGGAGGAAGAGGAGAGCAGATCCGGGAGCTTCCTGCAGGGGGGGAGATTTTTGGGTTCTTTATGGGTTCTAGAACAAGAAAAGAAGGCCAAAACCAAGCTTATCTCACCGGTTTCTTCAAGGCATGGCTGGGTTTCCTTTTTTTTTTTCTTTCGGGTGGCTGTAGCGGGAGGGAAGGGGAAGAAGAGCAGAAACGGGCAAGGCTGGAAAGAAGAAAGAAGAAAAAAAAAGAAAAAGAAAGAAGCTGATCCTTATCCAAATCCCTTCCACTTTTAAGTCCCTCAACTTTCAAAATATTTTCTATTAAGTTCATTAATAATATTTCTTCACAATTAGGTCCCTCACTCACTTTAATACTCTAGAAATTTTGGGGTATTACAGTAATTTTAAACAAACTAATGAACATTAAATTCTATGGAAACCTCTAACTTAAGAAGGGGGAACTACTAACTCTCTTCTCTTCCTCCACTATTACATGTGAGTTAATTACCTCACAGTCTCATAGTCTAATACAAGGTTTATATTATTACTCGTCTAATTTAAGCAATTTTTTCTTAAGTTCATACATAAATCATTAAATTAATTGAAAGGTGATTAAGCTCTTAATGAATTAAACTTAATAATATTAACTCATCATACAAATAATCAATAAATCTTGAATTAAACTAAGAAAAACAGTCACATGATCCAAAAATTAAAATCCATCCATCCTTAGTTCAAGGAAATCTAGCCACACATAATGAAGTTCTAAACAGCCATAATTAGGAAAACCCAGCAGAAAATCATGGTAAAAGAATCAAGTTAAGAATCAACAACACCCGTCCAATGAAGAACTGCAATTTGCCGAATGGTGTTGATGGGAACCCCAAAGAGAACAATGAGACCCACAGCACGACAAGGAATTTCTAGACTCCAGGAAAGCCAAATCAGGTTTATAATAGGACCTTGACCCGTTGTTTATGTCGCAACAA